AAGACCGATATTTGGGTATTTTCCTCATGATGCCATAGAATCTCACTTAGCTTTGCCTTTCAGATGCACGTCTTATCTAGGTTTAACTGAAGGATTCGAGCCCGGGTCGTGAGTTCTGTGGCAATGCTACCACTACACTATGTGCCATCGGTACCAAATTGCTATGGGACTGATGCAAAATTTAAGGGAAGGCAGGTCTCTCTTTACAAACATTTTTATGTAGTGAGATTGTCGATTAAATAATCTCGTGTTTGAAATCATAATAGACGACCCTACTAGTATAATTTATAAGTAGTTTTTGAAACGATCAAAAATTCGTTAGACGAAAATTAGCTACCATACATCGCTCTGATACTCACGATCCGGTTTCGAATCCCGCTACTGTTGTCGATGATGAGATCCGGGCGATGTCAAAAATGTAATCCAACCTGGATGAGATATGTTTTTAGGTGGTGAGGCTAACTGACCTTCCATGGCATCGTGACGCCTGTTTATCTCTTTGTGGGAAAAACCCAATTATCATTCGTTGCACCACCGTAGGCGACCTAGAATGACAAAGCTATTCATCTTTGTGATTATGGCAGAAATTAGCATCCCAATAAGGGCTGGTGAGCTTGAGAGAACCGGTTGGTAAATGCAGCATGACACAAGAATCATAAATGATTAGCTCTAATTTGCTTAACACACACTTCCAACATGATCACGTCGGAAAACATGATGTTGTAACTACAAGTCTATACCTGGCTCTATCTTGTAGACATAGCTGGCCATCACTTCACTCTCTCCATCCGCTTGACGTTTCCTGCCACCTGCAGACATGTCGGCAAGCATAAGGCTGCCGTTCCGATGCCGTCTCACGAATCGGCAGATCACCTCACTCGGCATACCGGGTGAATTCAACAGACGCAGACGACTACGCCGTTCTGGCAGACCATGTTCTTCCAGAGCTGCTGAACTGCTGTCACCAGTCTCGACTACCGACTCTTCCAGGCCGTCATCTGGTTTGACTCGAGTGACTACGGCCAGGCCTGGAGGCAGATCGTGGATCGGCAGCAAGTCGAGGGAGACGGGCCAGCGCAAGAACCAGGCAAGAGTCTGCTGAGGATGCTCAGGCTGGCCGTGACACTCCAGTCCAAGCACACGGCCGGATTCGAGTGAAGAGTTCGGCAATTCAGACACGTTAAGACCTAACGCAAAAGTAGGAAACACAAGGAAAAATGGATTGTGTTTCATTTAATATCATCATATTAAATCTCACCTCATCTCAACGCAGATCAACTCATCTAAACACACCTAAACTAATCTTAAATCATTACAAAGCAACTCAAATCAACTCAGCTCAAAGTGAATTATTTGATTTGATCTCACGTTATATCATCTCATCTTATCTCATCTAATGTCGGCTTATCTATTCTCATGACAAATAATTGCATCAAAATTAATCTCAACGCATCGAAATAATCTTAAAACAACTCATCGCATTGCAGCTAAGATAATCTTATCTCACTTAATCACATCAAAATATCAAATGATCAAATCGTGTGTCATAACAGCACATGTCATCTTATCAAACAACATCCAAACACATATAAACGAATCTCAACACATCAACAGGCATTAGATCCCATCTCAAATCAATTCAACAAATTTCAGAAGTGGATTGACCTAATTTTCTCAACTTAGTCTTGTTGTCAGGGCGACTGAGTAAAACGCCCCTTGTCCGAAGTCCTCTGTCATAATAGTTATCATAATTCTCAGCAACAGACCGTGTACTTGGTACATTCTCAGGTGTTTCGCGGGCAATGTAGTTGGCATCATCAGTGAATCATGCCATTATCAGCATCAAGGTATGAATTCGTCAAAGAGACAAGTGAAGTCAATCCCTCAGCCAAAAATCTTCCGAAAACAGTTACACTACCTTTCCTCTTTCTGTCCTGGACCAGCTAAAAACTCTTTGCCCTCTTTTCCAACTTGTTTACATTTCACTCGTCAAAATTTGCGCCTTTTTGGCAAATTTAGTGTGACCTTATTACACCTGCTATTCACCCTGGCTCCCTCTCTTTTGATCGGCTAATCCGACACAGGCATCATATCTGGATCACGTAGATCCGTTTCTTTGCTTTCTGGTTCACCGATTTCACTCAGTTCCAGTCAGAGTGTGCGTTTTACTCCAGGCGATATTTCTCAAGGCTTTAGAATAATGTACACTGTCGCTTCACCGAACAGAGGGTCTAGACTCTGATTTCCATGTTTGTAGATATCGGGAATTGTCTTCACGGGTCGTCTGGGATGAGGGGTTGGACGAAATGACTAGGATATACTTCAGCAACGGCTTCCCAAAAGAATTAAGACAAATAAACATACAGGCTGTAAAAAGCCGATGGCAGAAAGGGGATTACGAAAGGAGAAGGATTCACAAACGTAGATATGCCTACCTACTTACGATCTAACAAAGTTGTAATTCTCTGCTTATGATAGTGCCGCTGGCTGAAGATGCCAGCGAAACGTTTGGGGATGTACACAGCCAATGGCCCAATGCTAGAAATCACGAATAATATGGCAGAAGACACGGGACTAGGTACATTTCACAAGGTCTCCCTGACGCCTTAACCAAGTTGCGAAAACTAGGTCGAACCAAGACTAGTGATAACTTTGTCTACTGCGTTAGCGAACTCGGGAAAAAGCAAGAATACAGCGAGACCAGGAAAAATGAGACGCCTTGATTAAGGATCAATCGCTAACCGGAGGACAAGGGATCGTTATGTGAAATGGGGGAGGAGATTTTTGGGAATCGAGCGAAGACGTCGTCAGTGAATGATGTCCTTTCGAATAAACCAGTACAAATGTGAGGGTCTAGCATTCAAGAAGCTAGGCATACGGACAAGCAAACAGTCACAGAAATTCAGCGTTATGACCAAAATGTACTAGAAATCCACTTAAGATGCCGCATGCGACCAGAGATAGGCGCCACAGTTTGTTCAAGTTACAAGCGTTTAGTCAAGGAGACGACTTTTGAAGGCGATGCATAATGTAAGCAAGCATGGACATCAGAGCCTGGGCGCTTTGCTCGGTGAGGCAGCAGTGTACAAGCTTATAAGGCCTTGAGAAATAGCGCCTGGTGTGAAAGCCAAACTGGGACTGGAACCAGGTGAAACCGATCAACCAGAAAGATAAGGAAAGGATCTACGGGACCATGAGGGAGATCCGGTTGGGAGGCCCGAGTCGGATGAGCCGATTGAAAGAGGGGGGGTCGGGGTGAATAGCCACAAAAGGTCACACATTTTGACGAGTGGAATGTAAACAAGTGAGAAGTTGTGATAGGATGGGAGTAGGATAAGAGGGTAAAGAGTTAAAGGTGGGCCAGAACAGAAAGTGGAGTGATAGTGTAACCGTATTCGGCGGAGCGTGGGCCGAAGAATCAAGTCTCCGTGACGAATTCGTTGCTTAAGGCGGAGAATGGCAAGAATCACTGATGATGCAGACTAAAAGGACGGGGAAGCGTCAGAAAATGTACAAAGTCCAAGGTCTGATGCTGAGTATTATGAAAACTACTATGAAAAAAGAATTCGGGCAAGGTGCAGTTTACTAAGTAGCCCTGACAACAACACCAATATGTGAAAACGAAGTCAAGCCATTTCGATAAATCGAGAGAAAACTACGAATATAATGGAGGGTATACCATCTTGGTGTATTTTCAACACAAGACAATTAATCACAACAGATAGAAAAGCAACAAAAAATAAGCTAATCTCATGAAAAAGAATGTCAGCTCAAATAATAAGAACTAAAAGAAACTCAGGAGAAATCAACTCAAAAGATGCAAAATTATATCAGCACATTTGATTTAACCTCTCAAAAACGTAAATTATTCTCAAATCATTTGAAGTCAGATCAAATCAAGGCAAATACTTTCAGCGGATTTAAACACATATCATCTCACCTAATCTCAAAGAATCTGATCTCATCTCATCTGAGCTCATCTGGGCTCAGATCAGGTCATCTAATCTAATCGCAATTCATCTCATCTCATTACATTTCATTACATCCAAACTTATCTCATCTCATTGAGAATCATTTCATCGAAACTCATCTCATAACAACATATTTTAACTCATCTCATAACAACATATTTTAACTCATCTAATCTAATCTAATCTCCCATAATCTCATCTCTTCTCATCTCATCTCATTTCATTTGATCTCATTCCATTTCATCTCATTTCATCTCATTTTATCTCATTTCATCTCATTTCATCTCACCTCATCTCATCTCAACTCAACTCATTTAATTTTATCTCATCTTATATCAGCTTATCCTATCTCATTTCAGCTCATCTCCTCTCATCATATCTTATATAATCTCATCTAATTAGCCTTAATGTAATTTAAATTAATCTAATGTCATATAATCTTATTTCATCTCATCTCACCTTATCGGATCTGATATAATCTAATCGCATCTCATCTATTCTCATCTCATCTCATCTCCTTTCATAGTCTTTCATCTCCTCTCATCTCATTCTCCTTTTAAATGTTGCTAATCACTTTAACACAGCATGTAATAATATCTGATTCGCAGGAGAGAGCTCTAAGAGATTATTTGCGTATACCCACTATCTTCTCAACAGAAACATACCTTCAATTTACATTGCGGAATATCCATTAATTTCTTTCATCTCTCATATTAAGCATAT